AGCTCTTTAGAGTTGCCGCTAGTTGCAGTGTTTATATTATTATTATAATTATAATTATTGGTAGGAACAGGAACAGGAACAGGAACAACGCCGCCTGTGGCTCCGCTTTCCTTTCTCCGGTGGCCGGAAAACATGGGGTTGGGTGGCGGATACGCGCCGCCGTTGTATAACTCCCCACTCATGTTCCTTGCACCGCTCTTCTTCTTCCCAATCTTAAGCATATCCTCTTCGAAATTGGACGTCCTGGGCGTGGGGCCCTTGGAGGATTGCAGCGAGAAAACGTCGCCTCCGAAGCTGGAAGTGTAGCCGTGCTTGGGGCTCCCGGCCTTGCTGGCGAACATGGCGTAGAAATCCGTCTGGTTGAAACTGGAGGCCCGCGGGGTGGGCTCGCGGGAGGACTGGACGGAGTAGATCTCCACGCCGGTGAGGTTGGAGGCCCTGGGGGTCATGTTGGTGGACTGAAACCCTTTGTTGTAGGCCGATATCACCGACGACGCGGCGGAGGACCGCCGAACGACGACGTGGAGCTTCCCGTCCTCGCCGACCTCCGCGTCCGTCTGCAGCGGCTCCCGCCCGTTGAGCGACACCACGTCGGACTCGACCCGGAACGACGTGATCGACGCCGCCGTCTCCGGGAACTGCTCCCCGATCAGCAACTTCGCCGCGCGGTACTCGAACATGAAGAGCATGAGGGTATACCACACCACGCTCTGCATAACCACGATTTGGACCATCAAGTTGCCGGAGAAGTCGCCGTACATTGCCCGGAGCAGCGGGATCCCCATCACGAGCGTGTTGGGGAGCGTGGAGAGGGAGAAGAGCGTGATCATCCACTCGAGCGTCCCTTTCCCGCTCAGCGCCTGCCACGCGAACAGCGCGCCCAAGATCACCACCTTCTGCAGCGAATCCGCGGCGATGAAGTGGTAGTTCATGGCGTAGATGTCGTTGGTGGAGATGAAGTGGAAGCCCAGGAGCGGGACGGCGAAGACGGCGACAAAGCGGTTGATGCCGGAGCACTGGTCCGGGGTGAAGATCTTCCACCAGCGGACGGAGCCGTAGGCCAGGATCATGGCCACGTACAGTGGTATTATGGCCGCAAGGACATCGTAAATATCTTTACCAGTAATCATGGTACGTTGTTCGTCGTGGGTAAGAAAAGGGCCGGGGGTGGTGCTTCAGTTACTTTGCCGATGGAGTAAGTAGATTGATGAAGACCAAAGAAACCAGTATGGAGGAGGTGGGATGGGTGTGAGAGAGGGAGAGAGACCGAGGAGAGGGAATAGCTTTAATGTAATGTGTTATATATATAGATATAAAGGATAAAGATCAACCCAACAGGGTAGCTCAAGTGGCAAATGAGTTCTCTGGAGAATTCTGGGATAACCCAAGTGACGATTCCCTTTGGGCCAGCTTCTGTGCCTCCCGAAGCGAACCGGTGGACCTGGACCGTTAAACGGACAGAGAAAGACCCGGACCACAATGTGTGGCTATTACCAAAAAAAAAAAAAAAAAAAAAAGGATAAAGATCACTCCTTCTTCTAAAGTCTAAACCTATAATAATAATAACAATAATCCTTTATATAATAAAGCTATATGGTTTGGGAAATAATTAATGTTACAATTAATGCCACAACAACTTTTATTATAAAAAAAAAACACAACATTTAAAAAATAAAATAGCTATATATTATATAATCATATAAAAAATGTGTTGAATTAGAGTTTAAATTTACACATACAAAATTTAAAATTTGCTTTCCAAATGTAATTATCTTAGTTATTATTCGTATTGTGAAAATTATAATATAGATGAAATACAATTAAGAATAAATCAATGTAATTATGTAAATTCTCTCTATAAATTTATTTGAATATGCACATAATTAGAGATTATATTAATCATACAAAATTATAATTTTAATTTTAATTTTAATTTTAATTTTAATTGTAATTTTGTATTCTATAAAAATAATAAATACTTGACCAATGGAAGCTCAAAAATATTATTAGATTAAATAATTTAAAATATTTTAGTTTTTCTATTTTTTATTTATATTTATAATAACATAATTTTTTTCCGTGCATCGCGCGGGTAAATTACTAGTAATAATAATAATAATAATAATAATAACAATAATAATAATAATATTGTTGGTTTTAGAGTTTTTGGACCCACGGAGGTCCAACACAATTCGTTAGATGGGTGGATTCATCTAAAAAATAATAGAAAATGGGTAAGAAAAATAGATAGTCAAGAACTTCACTATATTTGCTTGTAATTTGTAGGGTAGCCTGTACATATTTTCGTAGGAATAAAGCTATTTTGATACATAGAGATGGGGTATGCTTCTTGAGAGAATAGAACTTTCCTTGTGGTGAAAAATGGAGTCTTCTTCATACTTCATGTGATGATGGAAGAGTTCTTAGAGTGGAAGAGTGATTGTGGAGAGGAGTCTTCTTGTTTGGGAAGAGTGATGTGTCTTCTTATGAGTGGAAGAGTGTCATATCTTGTGAGGAAGAGTCTTTTAGTATGAAGAATAATCTCTCCATAGGAGGAAGAGTGAAGGTGTCCTCCTGCTCTTTGTTTTCATGCTTTTATAATATGAGAATGATTTGTGAACGTTGGGTAATGATGAATGGGATCATTAATGAGGATTTAAGTGGGTAATTAATTGAAATGGATAGTTATGGCTATTTAGTGGGGTTTATGCTAGATAATAAGGGAAATTAATGAGTAGTTTAATAGGATAATAAATGGGTATTTGTATAGAGGTTATGGAGCGGTTAAAATATTTGACCAGGTTTAGGTGGTCCTATTGGGGCTAGACGGTCTAATTAGGCTTAAAATATCGGTACCTATCACTAGTCTCTCACTTTTTTATGTCACGCACCCAGCATGGCATAGGAAAGTATATTGTCTCGCCTCAAAATTGACTTCGCAATCGAATCAAGATGTCACTGACTCCTTTTTTAAGGTGGCACGGTCGACCAAGCGCCGACTCCTTTTTCAAGGGGTCGTGGTCGACCAAGCGTCGACTCCTTTTATTTGCTGTTTTCATGTGGCTAATTGCTTGACTACTTTATTGACTGCGTAGCAGTCCCTCAGTGTCTCACTTCATTGACTGCGTAGCAGTCCCTCGGTGTCTTACTCCGTTTTCTTAAACCTGCATAAATTAAAAGAAAGCTAGTAAAAGTCAACCGGCCGCCCCGCGTCCGGGGGGTGATTGACTGTTTGATATGGCTCGCTCTGAGCATCTTTTTTCTTTTATTCTTGATCTGCGTAAGGTTCGTTCTGAACCCTTATTTTTTGAATTGTGATAGATAATTGAGTAGGGTTCGTCCTGAACTCCTACTTAGGATCTGCACTGGACCCAGATTTAGATGTATGAGTAGAGCTCGCACTAAGCACCTACTTAGGATCCGCCCTGGACCCTTTACTTGATATCAAGTACCATTTGGGGCTGGCTATACCCATGTACCATTTGTGGCTGGTTAGACTGACTGTTACTTGACTCAACCGGTCACTTGATTGGCCGGGAGATTTTTCTTTGTGCCCAAGGATTTTTACAAGTATTGCATACTTGCAAAATAATAGATAAAATTGAGCTCATTTCTGATGCCATATTCTGATATGACACCTTTCTGACTGAGCCCCTCAGTCAAGGCGACTCTCGACTGCAACTTTTCTTTTTTTAAGAAACTTCTAAAGGTTTGGACCCTTGTTTCTCTGTTTACTCGCCCGAGTCGGGGCGACTCTCGGCTATAGCTTTTATTTTTCTTCCATTCATATAACACCCTTGTAGACAAGGAATTCCACGAGCAATTAAATTTTGGAAATTAAGAGGGCTAATAATGGGTAGTTATGGCTATTTAGCGGGGTTTATGCTAGATAACAAGGGAAATTAATGAGTACTTTAATAGGATATTATTATTATTATTATTATTATTATTATTATTATTATTATTATTCTAAAATGTTGAACCCCAACCCTAAGAGTCCCCCACACCCCGACCCTATTATTATTATTATTATATTATAGGTTTGTGGTTTTTGTGTGCTGTGCTTAAGGTGTGTCAGATGTTGAAACTTAAGTGCGTCGGTCTAAAGTTTTAGGTGCGTGATTTCCTTTCTTAAATTCATGATTTTCCTTCTTAAGGTGCGTCGGTCTAAAGTTTCAAGTGCTTAATTTTTCTTATTATAAAGTGCATTGTTTTCCTTCTTTAAGGTGATTTATTTTCCTTCTTAAGATGCGTTGTTTTCCTTCTTAAGGTGCTTTGTTTTTCCTTTTTAATTTTTTATTAATTTTATAAACAATTTCATGAATTCCTTTAGGTTATTTGTCATCCCAGGTGCTCAGATGAGAGTATTAATGGAGGACGCACTTTGTTTTTTTTTTTTTATTTGAGCAATTGATCTAGATTTGATTAATGGCTCAAATATAACCCTTCTTTTTTTACCTAGGAGCAACCCCGAACCAAAACTCATCTATATATGTGTGTGTGTAAATTACATGCGAGTTTTTTGCACTTTTGGTCCCACGACTATGGTGTCACTAACAATTTTGATCCACGACTTTTAAAACTTGTAAAATTGGTCTACCACTATGACTTTCTTAGCAAATTTGGTCCTTTCGGTATATTTTTCGTTCAATTTTTGTTGAAAAATTTTACTTCCCATTTAAACATGGGTAATATTGTCTTTTCAATCTCACAAACTAATGACATAAATCAATTAATTAATTAATTAAACACAGCCAGTGGTACAGTGATTGAAACTAAAAGCCACTACCCTTCTCGCTAAACGCCAAAATTTTTTAGTTGTTTATTTATTTATTAATGTCATTAGTTTGTGAGATGGAAAAGACAATATTACCCATGTTAAAATGGGGAGTAAAAATTCCCGACAAAAATTGAACAAAAATACACCAAAAGGACCAAATTTGCTAAGAAAGTCATAGTCATGGACCAATTTTACAAGTTTCAAAAGTTGTGGATCAAAGTTGTTAGTGACATCATAGTCGTGGGACCAGAAGTGCTAACAAGCTCCATTACATGATAATGACATCATATTTGCCTATGAATTTTTAACTATTTAAACGCTTGTATGAAGATGATGATGATGATGCTTATTATTATTATTATTATTATTATTATTATTATTATTATTATTATTATTATGTATTCGAGAGTTGAAAAAATGCATTCACAGATCATGTCGAGCATCATCAGTTCATCAATGCTGTAAGCTCCAAGATACAATTCAGTTTCAAAATATATCCCATCCAGATTTGAGAACAAAGCCTATTATTTCAGCACTCGTGAATAATTAATTACAAAATTATATACAAGTTTAAATTACTATTGCTCCTCACATCTCAGATAAAAGGTTGCTGATTTTTCGAAGCTCCTTTAAAGCTGACATGGCTTGTCCTTTACCCACAAGAACACTCTTGGACAAGTTCTCCAATGGCCCTGTTGGAGACTGATCTTGCTGGAAAACAGATTCGATCACCTACACCAAATGACCAAGTAGTTTAGAAAGAATCAGAATAGCAATTCAATCAAGAACAGATGAGTGCTTAAAGGCGACACAATAGCAACACAACTAAGAACAAATTAAGGTAACCCCAGCCAATATGGCTAAGGATACAAACTTGTAACCACAAGGTCACGAGTTTGAATCCCAGTCTTCTTGGTTTAAACCGGTCAACTATGGGCAATCTAGGCTGGTTTACCTCCTTGTGATCCTTTGCCGGCTAGGGTCACAAGGCAAGGTTTACCCAGTGCACACCCTCGGGTAGTGGCTGCAGGTTTCCCTCATCACCCCAAAAAACTAAGAACATATTAGAATGCAAACAATAGTTTAATTTTAATGCAAGAACTAGTCTAGATAACATCTAAATAGATAGCAAATTAGCAACTAAATCAAAATGCCGACAATAGCTTTTTAAGCCCGAATTCTAATCTTAATGATTCACATGATCACATCAAAGTGCTTTTTGGTTGACTCACATTCTTATCCAAGATTCTCAGCATAAATCCAAATTCTAGATTAATAACTTCACAATACTAAACACAAACTCTGGTTCATCTATAACCACAGTTACTAGACTGCAGTGGATCTCGTTTTCAAGACAAATTTCCAAAAGCATTGTCTTTTCATTGATCAAAATATACTAGTGCTAGTTCCATAAAATTTCTTTTATTAGTCTATCGGGATCTCAAGAAAAAAGAAATTCACTAGCAGAAGAAAATAACTTCATCTTGTCTTTTCCTTTCTTTACAGAATGAGGCAAGCAGCAGGGGCTGGGGTGGTGGGTAAGAAAGATACCTGCCATCACTCGGCACACTATTCACAGCTTGATAACAATATGTTATAATCACCTTATCCATTTATCTAAGACATGGTTGTCTAACTCATAAAGCATAAGCAGGTCTAGAGATGATCTTCTAAATTTCCGGTGTACTAAATTCTTATTACTGACACAACCACATCCTAACAATCTGATCCGGTCAATCTCATTTAAATGGGGCATTACTAGCTATAAAAGTCTAAATTGGAAGTGCAACAGCTCTGATTATCACAAAAGAAATAGCAAATACCTGAATATTCTCGAGCATGGAATTCCCAAGATTTCTTAATGAAACCAACAAATTCTGGTCTACATTCTCTCCTCTGCTAGTGCCAGAACTATCAAACCCTTCAATTGTAGAAGATCCAATATGATTGTTCTGACTGTTCCCGCCACAGGGGACTTTCGTGACCTCAGGGCCACTATCTTTTTCAGATGCCCCTTCACCAGCATTCCGTCCAAACTTCCAAAACCAGTTAAATTTGACAGACCGAAGCTTCCGCTCCTTTGAGCAAGTTGTGGATTTCCCTCCAGAATCATCATTTTGTTCAGACTTTACAGAAACACCTTCTAGAGGAAGAGGAGATCCTTCTAGGTTAGTTCCAGACACCACAGCGTTACTTGCATCACCATCATTGTCACCAACAGACAAATTTGATGCAACACTGCTTCTGTCAGATCCAATTTCCTGATGGTTATTACCACTAATAGGGCTAGGTGGGTCAGAAGAAATATAAGAATTCTGTTCACTACAAGTGTTTCGGCTGAAACATCTCTCCTCAGATGTGGAACTAAAATTTTTGTTTTCTCCATCTTGTCCATCAGTATCAACCAGATCCCTCTGGCCTACATTTTCATTATCAACCAAGTCATCTGTCTCTTCATCTGACCCAAGCTGCCGAGCCAGATCTTTCAACAAATTTCTTCTAACAGCTGAATTGGGTACTTTTCTTCCACCATTGACCGTAGATGGAGATGGTGCAGACTCGGTTCTTGACAAGCGCAACTTAACTTTCTCAGACCAGGACTTCCTTTTTCCTGGAACTTTGTTCTCCTCAATGCATTTCTTGTTTTCTTCTTCCTTTTGCAGAACTCTCCACTTCTCTTCCCAGTAGCTTTCAGCTAGCAAATTCAATGGATTTGCCAAAGTTAAATCAAATGAATTTCTATGGCCTCTCACAGCTGTTGACTTACTTCTCTTGTAGAACCCATCATAACTCAGCAATGGAGTCGAGTTATTAGCAACCACTGCCAAACTCTGTAAAGATTTCGCCTTTGCAATCAATTTCTCCAAATTTGTATCCTCTGGAAAATTCAGCAGTCTTTGAAGACATGCAGTAGCATTCTCTGTGGCAAGTAGTGAAGACCTTAAATTTAGTATCATGGAAACTGCAAAAGCAGAGATGAAAGCCCCTCTGGATGAATTGAGAACAGTGCAGCCAAAGTCGGTATCATTTTCAGTGGATTTTTCCAGCTTCCTATTTTCACATGCAAATATTTCATCCCAGATAATCAAGAGGTCTTCAAGATCAAATTCCCGTCCAAAGAGGACACGCAACCAACGAAGTGCGAAATACTGGGGCTCAACACCAAGCTCAACAAGGTGGCTATGGAGAGAGGAATCAACCAGAGAAAGCAAATGATATAAAGCAGCAGAAGCTTCAATGACAGGCGGCAAACCAGTATGCGAAGTGCCATATGGGGAAGGGGAGAAAAATTCAGCCATAGCAACAGCACCGCCAGCACCATTCATTAAGGCATCAAACATACAATAAGCATCATGCTCCATGAATTTCACGGACAAGAGAACACCAAGCTCACCTTCAGCTCCATATGCATCATTTAGTAGAACAGTGGATTGTATCTTGGGGTCAAGTTCACTGAGACTACTAATCTTAACTGGACTTTTGCCAGTTCCCTGTTCTTCTTCAAGAGATTCCGAGAACTTTTTAAAATCAAATTTATATGACAAATCATTTTCATGAAATGAGAAACCATCAAAATTGTCAGTGAAATGATCTTCATAAAGATTCCTCACTTCGGAGAGATGTTCGACATCTACATGGAGAACATATAGCAGTGGGGCCAACAGTTCGTGCATTCCTGCAAACCACAAAGGAAAGTTTCTACTGATTAATCAACACTGAAAAAAAAAAGTTAAATCCATTAAAAGACAACTGACATGTATTTTAAATAATTTCAGAGACTAATTTGAGAATTAGGTCATGGGTTGATGCTAGATCTGACGTTTTTTCCTACTTAAAACCAACAGGCAAGCATGCAAGTACTTGATTACATTTTACCGTATAGTTACAGACCAATTACCAATAGCATGCATAATGACAGCATTCCCCATGTCTGAGCTTTCACAAAGGATCTGACATTTTAGTAAATAGAATCAACAGGCAAGCAATCAAGTACTTGATTACATTTCACAGTATTAGTTACAGACAAATATCATGCATAAAGACATTATCCTCCATTCCTCCCATTACTACATTGAACACATTTCCCAGACGACACAGCATGTAAACTTTTTCTTTGTTACCAAAAATGAACGAGAGCCTAATACTATATGATCACTTGGTTCAAAGTACGAACACAGGGTTTTGGTCCCATGAATAGACATGGAGATCAGCAGTGTGTTAAAGGAAGAGGACAGGGGCAGGTGACATGTTACTGAAAGGCTCTATGTTGAATCCATAAAAACTTGAATTTTTAAAAGAAAGAGATAGCAATTGCACTTAATGCACTTAAGTTAAATTCAAAACAAATCTTAACATACCTTGTCTGTACCCATACCCAGGATGTCCAAGGCACCAAAGAAGCAAAATACGCCGCAACATGGCCTGGCACCCAGGGGTTTGGAAATAGCTACCATGCTCAGGATATAAACGAGACAAATCCTGATCAACCATTCTTTCTAACTCAGCATTCCTGAAGAAGCGACCCCACATGCTATCTATAAAGTATAATCAAAAGAAATTAACTTGAATAAAAGTTTAACACTAGGAATGCTACAGAAAAACAATCACATCCATGAAAAGATCAAGAATCAAGCTGTTCATGAAGAGATGCTAAAGAAAAACACATATATCCTACCAGGGTTTTGAGATAGTGGGTTGTCCATAACAAGATCTGGAGAGGTACTACCATCCTTTGGTACATGTGGATCAATTAGAAGCTGTCTCCTCAGAGAAGCATAACTGCAAGAAATAAACAAATAGGTTAAGGGTAATGGCCGATAATGACACAATTGCCACTCATGTAAGACACCTGTGTTGAAGCTGTTTGCAGTTAGTAGCCAAAAACTATCTTGAGCTGTAGTACCCTAGAATTTTTCCAACTCTAAACTAAACAAATTGTTGACATTTAATAATGTGCTATGACACACACCTAAGGGAATACAAGCATTTGTCAATCCGATAGTTCTTAGTTTAATTTTTGCACTTTTAATGTACCAAGTATTCACATTGGATGATGTTAGTTCACAGAAATTAGAGGAAACAGATTTAACTGCTAACATAAATATTTGTTGAAAATTTGGGACCTTTGTAACCAGAATCGCTTATTATCCAACAATTTTTTTTAAAAGAATATAATTTTCCAATGACTGCTAAGGAAATGATTGAAATTCACTAACAGAAATGTCAGACAC